ATCCATTGATATTCTACCTTATTGCGTGAAATCGATTTGTCTTGGCAAACGTCATCAAATGTATTTACCCTCCGGAACATGATCGTTGTATATTACCTTGAGTACAATCTAGAATTGTTGGACTATAACCCACAGAACATCCACCAGTACATTCTCCTGTCACATGATCACACATTGAATTCTTCAGACATTTTCTATTATTACAATTCTTCTGACAACCAGCACCATAAAAACCATCAGGACATTCTAATGTATAAAACAAAAAAGTATATGTAAAACGTTTATCAATGAATTCTATCACATGGATTTCCTCAAATTTGATGATTACTTTGCAAGCTCAAGAATCTTATTTTAACCTGATTTACTTACCTACTGTACAATCATCTTCTTTATAACCTGGTTTACTTACCTACTGTATAACCATGTTCTATATAACCTGGTTTACTTACCTACTGTACAATCATCTTCTCTATAACCTGGTTTACTTACCTACTGTATAACCATGTTCTATATAACCTGGTTTACTTACCTACTGTACAATCATCTTCTTTATAACCTGGTTTACTTACCTACTGTACAATCATCTTCTTTATAACCTGGTTTACTTACCTACTGTATAACCATGTTCTATATAACCTGGTTTACTTACCTACTGTACAATCATCTTCTTCATAACCGTGTTTACTTACATACTGTACAATCATCTTCTCTATAACCTGGTTTACTTACCTCGAGTACAATCATCTTCTTTATAACCTGGTTTACTTACCTACTTTCCATGATCTCCTCTATAACCTGGTTTACTTACCCACTGTACAATCATCTTCTCTATATCCTGGTTTACTTACCTACTGTACAATCATCTTGTTTATAACCTGGTTTACTTACCTAGAGTACAATCATCTCCTCTATAACATGGTTTACTTGCCTTGCCTACTGTATAGTCATCTCCTCTATAACCTGGTTTTCTTACCTCGAGTACAATCACCTCCTCTATAACATGGTTTACTTGCCTTGCCTACTGTATAGTCATCTCCTCTATAACCTGGTTTACTTACGTACTGTACAATCATCTACTCTATAACCTGGTTTACTTACCTACAGTACAATCATCTTCTTTACAGCCTGGTTTACTTACCTACTGTACAATCATCTTCTTTATAACCTGGTTTACCTACCCACTGTACAATCATCTTCTCTATATCCCGGTTTACTTACCTACTGTACAATCATCTACACTATAACCTAGTTTCCTTACCTAATGTACAATCATCTTTTTTACAACCCGGTTTACTTACCTACTGTACATTCATCTTCTTTATAACCTGGTTTACTTACCCACTGTACAATCATCTTCTATTTATCTTGGTTTTCTTACCTACTGTGCAATCATCTATTATATAACCTGGTTTACTTACCTACTGTACCATCTTCTCCTCTATGACCTGGTTTATTTCCCTACAGTACAATCATCTACTCTATAACCTAGTTCACTTACCTACTGTACAATCATCTTCTCTATAACCTGGTTTACTTACCTACTGTACAAATATCTTCTTTATAACCTGGTTTACTTACCTACCGTACAGTCATCTTCTCTATAACCTGGTTTACTTACCTCGAGCACAATCATCTTCTTTATAACCTGGTTTACTTACCTACTGTACAGTCATCTCCTCTATAACCTGGTTTACTTACCTCGAGTACAATCATCTTTTTTATAACCTGGTTTACTTACCTACTGTACAATCATCTTCTTTATAACCTGGTTTACTTACCTACTGTACAGTCATTTTCTTTATAACCTGGTTTACTTACCTACTGTACAGTCATTTTCTCTATAACCTGGTTTACTTACCTCGAGTACAATCATCTTTTTTAT